CTCATGCCTTGAAACCCTCGCTTTGTAGCCTTGCATAACAAGTAACTATTGTTATTTTTGTTTTGTTTTATTGATTTTTAATCACTGTTCCTATCCTTATTTGTTGTAACGAAGAACAAAACATGGAACCAGTGACAGGACCATCTACTGGTAAATCCAGTAAATACCAATGTCGTATTAATATATTCATCGTATTGACCACAGCATCGACAACAGTCGACCAATTAATTATATTTATAAATGTAAGCGACAATGAATCTTCCGGATCGAATTCTGAAAGTTACCGTTTTGCATACTATTTTTAGTTATCATTACATTTTTTATTAGATACTTATTAAAAAAAAAGGTACCTAATTAATATGTTGCCCTAATCAACCTATTTAAATGTTAATAATTCCCGAGGTCATTTGTACGTAAAAGTGACCTCTACCACGATACGCTAACGATAATGCTTTCTCACGTTATTATTTGAGAACATTGAAGAGCATTGTTTTCACAAATAACGTATACAGTGGTAGGAAGGGGTGATTGATCCCTATTGTCATGCTAAATGGAACTTGAGCAGTTGGGTAGTCCTGTTTGCAGTATCAGATCGAGCTTACCGTGTTATTGTAATGTTATTGGATTTCCCTAGTGTAAAAAAATTCAATTCGATCGGAAAAGTGGAAGTAAAATAAATATTCATTTTATGACTGAGATCACCATTAAATTAGGCTTCTGGGCTTCGCAAAAAAAAACCGCTTTGAGATCAGTCCATCCATCCACGATGCCAGAGACAAACACACAGACACATAGGCACACGGTCAAGAGCACGTCAAGCTTTACACTTATGACTTACAAAGCGTCAAGTTTGATGTGCTCTTGACTGTACATAGACAAAAACTTCAAATTTATAACTACAATTTTTAAATAAAAAAATAAAAATAAACATAAAAAATACTACAACGGTAATACCTAATATTACGTTCATATTTCATAAGAGGGCTTTTGTTTCTATAGTGCTACCTGCGGCAGTAGTAAATAAAGCTGAACTAATAGCAGCGATTCGTCTCAGTCATTGCCTACGTCATAATACGAATCTACCAAGACGAAAAATTGCTAAGCGTAAAAGCCTTTATTCCACTAGATCTGCATGTATTTCATCATTTAGTTTTAAAAGGCTTTTATTCCCTTAGGTTGTTAAGAAGAACATTATAATTATATCATCATATATATTTCTTACAGCATACGTATAATATTATTCTAAAATGCAATAAGCTATTTAATTAAAAAAGATGGAGATACAAACAACTGCCAGACTTTACGTTTATATAATTAAAATATTGTTTTCATTTAACATCGTCCTATCGAAAGAAACCTACGGAGAACTATCACAGATATTACATTTAGGTGTACAAGCCATGTAAACTTAAAAGGTATTTTCAAAGATGTCACTTCTTTCCACGTATCTCTAACAAACAGTAGCATTGGTTTATTTGCCGCCCGTTACTTGTGAGGTCTGAACCCCTTATGGTAGGCTTACGGGCACATCTATACAAATACGTTGTGTTATTCAATCAGTAAACAAGATACATTGATATAAATTGAACAATCTGCTTTATCCACCTGCTGCGTTTTTTCTTGGTTTTGTCTATACATATTTCATGTTCACGTAGAAATATTAGGTGAGTTGCTGGTATTGGAATAGGTAACATAAAATATTATTTGTACTGCGTATGCAAAATATGGATTTAATTATGATTGACGCAAATATAGCATGATTGCTATTTGATAATATTTTATTTTATTTGGGATAACAACAGCCCTAATATAATTTTAATCTTAACAAACATTAGCACTTTTCGAATAGGCCAATTACAGTTATCCACTAAAATAATTATAAAATAAATAAATAAATAACGCACACACTCAACATAGCCCCGCACTAGGGAAACCCTGTGTCGCGGGTGCCATGGACACACACATAGACAACCACAAATTACACCCAAACCCACGAGAGAAATAAATGTAAGCCATACAAACATTTCTCCCGGCCCGGGAATCGAACCTGGGACCTCTGCGTGGCAGTCCGGCATGGTAACCGTTCGGCCACGGAGGCAGTTACTTAATTACTGATACTGTATGTATAATATTAAGAATAAAAACAAAAATAAGAACGAACAAAGTTAAATGAAATTAAATAATCCTATCTCTGTTAAAAGAAAAATAATACGTGAAAGTGAGAAAAAAAAAGAACATTAAAATAAAATACAAGACGCAGAAGCATATTAATAATAACGTAATATATACATATAATACATTAAACATATATACACAACACTATTATGGTATTAAATATAGAAATATGTAACGTCATACTACCATTTAGTGAAACTGCGAACTTTGAATATATGTGCAATTACCGAATGATATCCGAAGTACAGCTGACTAATAAATTAACGTTTGTTTTAAAGCAGTGTTTAGAATCTACGAAAGGGTCAATATATCCAAATTGGTTATTAAACGTTCAAAGAATAAGCGTGAGAACAGCATTCGTGCCTTAATTGTTAGGCTCAACTCACATTGGCGCAGAGTCGAACTGCACCCAAGAAACGCGCGGCGACGCGCGTCGACGCGCGACTCTATATTTGCATAACACAAATTTGTACCTTAATGATGGGAAAATAGAGATGAATATACTATAGGCGAAAAACATGACGCGTCGCGACGCATCGACTCTGCGCTAGTGTGAGTTGAGCCTTAGAGTGGAAGGAGACTTGAAGTGGAGGCAACGCAAAGGTACCCGTAGCGATACACTCTCTACCATTCTGGGCAATTCAAACGCCTACGCACGATGTCCCATGAAGTCCCAGAAGGCCCATGTCCCGCATATCACGACGTTCTTCAAGAGTGAGGAGACCAGCAATATAATATGAATTACAATATCGATTATTTATTGGATGACTCTAAGCGACCAGTTACACGAGGCGAAAGTTTTCGCGCGGCTGCCGCACGGCGACCGTCCAGTTACCACGCCTTCATGTGCATTAACGGCGAATTTGAATTCTATTTACTAGGCACCAACATTTAAATTCCTCTGAATAATACAAACATGCGGTCGCCGATCGGACTCCGTGCAGACCAAATTCAAGCCAGTCTCGTGCCTGCTCATTTAAGTTAAAACGTAAAAGCTAAATGAATAGAGCGTATTTTGCCATGACAGTACGACGCACGCGGTCGCTGTGCGGCGGCAACGTGGACTCCGCTCTGTGACCGAGCGGGGTGAGCGCGATGAAATTGGTGTCGAATAAATGTGCCCTAAAAATGCATACATTAATTATATAAATGATCACTTACAATTTTAAGTTCCTTTTTAATCTCCCTGTTTATGTCTATGTGGTGTCTTCTCACTCTCTTCACAGCTACAAGTCTTCCACGGTAGAACGCGACTTCGGTAAATATGGCCGAGTAACGAAAATCCAAATCAGGGTTGGAGCTCAAGGACACTTGGCTGGAACGGACCCCTCCAGTGCTCCCTCCTCCTATACTCTTCTCCGATGTCCCAGTGTTATTTGTATTGTTAACATTCACACCCGCACTGCTATCTTGCTGGAAAAATTCAGCTCTGATCAACTTGCTAAGTGCTTTCGATAAAAACATTAAAAAGAATGTCACTTACCATGATTATGTCTAACGAGAGGCATTGAGCAAAGCAAAAGATTAGATTTAGCTTAGTTTTTCAAATATGTATAACGGATGTGTAGTGATCGATACAATAACAAATGATCTATTTTCACATGGTACAACGATATTTGATATTATTTCAAAGAATATATCATATATACCAGTCATGAGATATACTTAGTTAAAGTTGTATAACAATAAAAGGTATAATTTCATTGTGTACAACCAACCTTCAGTACAACAATTTTTTATTGTTAGGTGGTATACGTACTGAAGTAATGAATGATAATGAATTTTTAATGAAATAAAATGATTAACTAATATAATGAACTAATTAATGATATATGTATTACCAGTATAATATATTAAATTATATAAATATTACAAACCTAACGCTTCATTGGCATAATTTTTATTAATTAATTTGACCTAAAACATGTTCGGAAAAGTAAACAAATTTGATTCTGGTTGCCTCCTGTTTTTCTATAAACTAACCTAATCTACTAAAAGAGTGACGCACATTACAGGTAGGTACTCAATATATTAAATGATTGTTATGTAAATAGATATTGAAATATTTATTGCTTATGTGTGTTGTATTCATTTTCATGTGCTTAGATACGAGCTTGCTAATACATACTAATACTCTTCCTCGCTGCGCTCGTCATAGTATCTAAACTTGACTCTGGGATTATGTTTATAATACATTACATTATACTCAACGAATGTTAAATCTGAGATGTTTATATAAAACATACATACCATCGGTATATTTAAATTGAAAGTTGTTATATCAATCCTTTATATTACTTTACATCACGCAAGAATATATCACATGGTTTTATACCATACATCCGTTGAGCGTTATTTCGACCAAAAATATGTCAATGTCATTTGTTCTTATAGGAAATGAACCGGATTCATGTAAAACTTAAAGTTTGATTTTTAACCGACTTCAAAAATGGAGGATCCGACTGTATTTTTTGTGTGCATGTTCCGTAATTACTCCGACATTTGTGAACCGATTTCGATAGATTTCGACAGTAGTGGTCTCATTCAAATTTGAAGAAAATTTTCCACCACCCAAGGGTGGCAAATTAGGGGATGAATCTGGGTAATTGGACTTCACACACTTTCCGTGTGAAGTCTGTGAAATAAAACTTGGCAAATAGATGTAACAAAAACATCGAAAGCGGATAAGCAAACTTCTGGGGTCGGTTTTTTTAATTAAAAGTTATAATTATTATAATTTAACTTTTTAGTCGGTATTTATTGAACTTAGATCACTTTTAGTATACAACGCATGCCAACAACAACAAGAATTTCGGTTTACCTACTCAGTTTGTTGGCTCGTTGATCCTCTTCAGGCAAATGCAAGTCCCGAAAGTCGATCTTCCACAGCAAGGAATCCAGTTCTTGTTCGTATCGCCAACCGCGGTATAGTGCTAAAGCTGCTAACACCAGTAGCGCTAATGTCCCTCCGCAGGCTCCGAGAGCCCATGCTCCCACGTGACCTGGACGAGATCAATGCTAATTAGTGCAAATAACTTGCATAAACACACATAGTTTCGCAAGGAGTATTATCATTGTTGAAGTCATCCTTAAGTCCAGGATACACCGCAAACGAAGCTAAGCTAGCTCAGCTTAGCTCACGTAGCTGGAGAATCTATTAACGTACACACTGATAGCCTCGCACTAGGGAGACCCTGTGTCATGGGTGCCATGGACACACACATAGACAAATTACACCCAAACTCACGAGAGAAATAAATGTAGGCCACACAAATATTTCTCCCGACTCGGGAATCGAACCCGAGACCTCTTGCGTGGCAGTCCATCATGATAACCGTTCAAAATTCATACTTCGGTTCACACCGCGAATTAAGCTAACCGAGCTATTTCAATTAATCAAACGATCCCGCTAAGCAATGTAAGATATGTCGCCTTTCACCCCCGCACGCATCCATAGTGTAGCACGTCACTACTTACTTACTATGTATTTTCTTAGCTTGGCTTTGTATGCAACTACGTGAGCTAAGCCAAGCTAAGATTCGTTCGCGGTGTGTCCTGCGCTTTATATTCATTATAATAATGGCATCGAAATATGTGAGAAACGTACCCTTGAGCGGTTTCACAAGATTCTTTAAAATTCTACCCAGTACAACAGTTAAGAATTTGCAGTATTTATTTAAGTTTTTACAACAAAACGAAATATGATTAGATACTCCAAGATGATAAACGATTCAATAAAAGTACTTTATTAAGTCTTTGCTAGTAATAAAATGCAATAAAAACTGTCTATGAAGAGGAAGCGGTTTGAAGCAGTTAAACGCTTTTAATATACGTCTCAATTCAATTTGTTGCTAGATCCGAGCGGGATTCTTTGCGACGAGATGATATAAAGTGGGTTTGAGGGCGAGTCGAAGTATTAAGTTGGAAAAGCTGGAACAAAGCCGGGTTCCTTTATCCGGAAATCCTTTCTTACCCACGTTTACAAGAATAACGCTCTCGTTATCGTTCGAGACAAGAAGAATAAATTAAATCACGTCGTGCTTTTTAGTACGCACATAAAGTTATTTTATTATCCGCCATCATGTATTAGGAGCATGCATTATTAACTTAGTAAAAAAATATTTGCACGTATAGCTAGTGATAAAATAAATTATGGATGTATATACTTCACATTTGTTGCAGTTAAATGAAATATTGCTTAAAATTGATGTTGGTGAATGTGTTTGTTTAGTCCGAGGGCGAGTCATTTAGTTCATTGGACTGGCAGTTCCGAAATGAGCATTCTGAACATACCTATGTGTAGCAGAGCAATATAGTGCTAAAGTGTTTTTTGTGTTGGGGATATGTACGGCATTAGGCGGGAATGGAGGCGCACAGCGGGAGTGGTGTGCGGGCGATGGCTAGTTGCAGCTCTGGCGCTCACGTTAGGACGCTTTTACGATCGAGCTCTTTGGTACACGAACGAAAGTTGTGCGCTTAATGCTGTTTATCCCGCAAGGAATTAGTTTTTTACATCTCCGCCACATACAAACCAGCAAGTGACGATAGCGTCGTCGGGCCCTAATGGACCATTGCAGCCCGCTCGCTGATTCTATTGGCTGCTTACACGCGTTACACATTAGGGGTAAGGTTGAAAATCCTTGCAAAGAAACAATTTCGTTTTGTTTTTATGTAGAATATAAATAAAAGTATTGATATAAAATTGACTTACTTGCGCATTTTTCTCCTCGAAAACCACAGGGTGGTTCAGACAGCGGTGCTCTTCCTCCAGGCCAATTCATTTCGCGTAAAAATCTAACCTCCTGCATAGAGAAAATAAGATGTGTTAAGAGAGGATATTTTGTAAGTGTATGTCTAAGTACAGCTTCACAAAAGGAGACGATTTTTGGAGCAAACTAAATATGTAAAAGACCCTGACGATAGGTACCTAACGTATAGAAATTTGTGAATGTTATATGTTATAAAATTGGACAAAAATTTTCAGTGAAAGGACCTACTATAAAATAATGTAAAGTTTCTTTGGCACCGAAGTGCATCTTCGAAGCCAACTTTGACGTCAGCGATCTTCGGTACAGTTAAAATTCGCTACTTATTCGGGCCACGTACATTCCCTATGCGTACGTGAGCGCACGTTTAATTCCATGTAAGCTGTTTATATGTAAAGTAGGTAAATATTTATAAATAAGATTCCTAAGTTAGGAAAGAAAGCCCTGTTAATAGATGAATATTTCTCAAAATGTGTTTATGAAATATGTACATTTACAAAAAAGGGGTGTGCCCGAAATAGTAAACTATTTTGTTTTTAACTATGTTTTTTCATTGTAAGTCAATGTTTTTCAGGCATACAAAAATTTGAAAGAAAAAAAAGCGTCAGTTTTTAATACTGCGATGAACGTGTAATATTCTTATCATTTTATTAATTATTTTAACTTTTCATAACAATGTTTTTTCTTCTTCATATTGCCGCCCTCTTACCTCAAGTGTTTGTCACACAGACTACATAAATACTCTTCCGTGGTTTGTCACTTCATAATATACGGAATGTCACGTTAATAAGGTGCATGTATTTGTATTACAGACCTTGATTGAATGTAGTTTCTGCATTAAAGTGATTTGATATGCGGTTTCGTAGTAAAAATTTAATGAATATGCCAAAAATAAAATGAGTCATTCCGATTTACTTTTCTTTCGTTATGCTTAATTTCCACTTTCACCTAATTTCTGAACTCGTCCACTGCATTTTACATCACTAGAATCATCCTTATTGGCTGTTGGTCTGGCGTCCTCGGCCATATTTTTCATAGTAGCAATCAGTCCAAATATGTTGATCAAATTGAGGGTATGTTACGTGACGTTAATTAGTAAAGAACTTTTTCATGATATGGTGAGTTTTAATTTATTTATACCATCGTAATACATGTAAATGAAAAGTTTAATATGCGTATTACATTAGTAATATCAGGTTATAACAGACCATGGGCATTTCAAAACTCGGTTATGATCATTATTTCAACTATTATTTCGTAACATTTTTATGCATTTCGTGTTTTTTAACATTTTATCTATAAGGTGTTCAAAAATATGTGCAGGGCTTAAAAAAATGCTGAGAATGCTCTCGCCCTACGAAATAAAGCCATTGGCGTCAAGGTTTTGAACACCCGAAGCTAAATTAATGGGCGGTTCCAAGGACCATGTCACAAAGACACACATAAAATAACACACTTGGGTAGCTCTGTCCGACCGAATTACCCGTTTACTAAAACTACAACACAGAAAAGACATTTAATGAAGTAGATGTGGATAGTACATATGTGTAGACAAATAGACTCCATCAGCAAGATTTTTACTTTATCTGTATTAATCCCTTCGTTATGAAAGTATTATTTGTATGTTTAGTTTTCATGTTTATTTTCCTTTTAGTTATTTATTTTCTTTATTTGTTTATTTTATTTTATTTTCCTTTCGGAGTATGTATGCATTATAAATTTATATAAAGCAGCAAAATTTATAGCAGCAGTAGAGCTTGTTCTGAAAGAGTTTATGCTGGGAAGGGAAAGGGAAAAGAAGTATTGCCACCTTATCTACTTCTGCATTACATTACTGGGTTCCGGTTTGGAAGGGTAAGGGTGCTGGTGAAATTACAAGCACATAGGACTTGTGAACTTATGTATCAGGGTGACGGGTGTAGTGGCAGTGACCCTCACATCTTTCCGATTTAAAGCTCTGAGTGGCACTGCAAATGTTATGGACAGGCGCGTAGGTTACCATCAAGCGCGCGACTCGTTCGTCCCGTCACTAGATATTATAAAAAAACCAGGTATATAAAGTAATTTAACCTGTAGATTGTCCACACGTAAACTTTGTTTTGAACTCAATTGTTGGGTTTTCATTAACTTACTTCAGTGTTTCCGACTCTTGTGCTGTTTAATGACTGATATTGTTCTTAAATTTACTTGAATTCAATTTCCAGTTTGCTACCAAGGCAATCTACGTGTTTGGTGTGTATAAAATGGGTAATCCAAAGTAGCTTAAGATGTCCACAATAGTACAAGTAGAAACGGCTGCTTACCGGTGCAGATTTGTGCAGAACAGCGAGTGGGTAGAGCCCGGGCGGGCGGCTGGGGTCAATCGACAGTAAAGTGTAATTGCCTTGAGCGTCGCCGTTTTCGTCCATATGTACTGTGTAACTGTACAAAGAACTTTTTAATCTGTGAAGAGTACTTAAATATAAATTAAACTAAATACTAAGTACAGAATACGTTTATTGGCATGAATGCTGTAATAATTAGGGTGTTAAGTAAAATTATGTACATTATATTCAACCTGCAAGCAGATGTGCAAATATTAATAGGATTTCATGTTCGGTCTCTACTGTTTATTGCACTTATTACTGTAAATTTGTATTTGAAAATTCTAAGTATTCTCTATTATTATAGAAGCAGTGTGTTGAAAGTCATTTTGTCAGTCCTAATTTAAAATTATACTAACAATTTAATTTAATTTGGTAAATTATTAAAAATAACACATGTTGAACCAGTTTTTCTTATAAATTACTTTATGGCAACGAGATTGGTACAAAAGATTCATAATTTTAGCTCTACTCGACTTTTGAATAATTTCACCACGTGTTTTGAAATATTGAGGATAAGTTTTGACAAATACACAGGTATCCCTAATGTACATGCGTGCCAAAGGCAATATGTTTAGTTTTTTGGATAAAGGTTTACAGTTGTACTCGAAAGGTTTTTTTTGTATTTTTTTAATTACACTAATATTTCTTAAAAGACGCACCCTTTTTGTAATAGGGCCACATCTTCAAAATGACAACTTTACAAGAGAGAAGTTTAAAGGTTCTACGAACAAAATTGGTCGATAATTTTTTATCCATAAATTGGAGAGTTACAACATTTATATATATATACATTACTTGTTTCATATAGTTCGTAATATTTTTATGACTTTCTTGTGACATAAGTTGTGTGATATAACTTTGATGTATGATCAGAAATGGCTGTTAAAATATGAAATGATACGTACACATGCCTAATTATTTTTACTTAATTTTACACATATTTTACGACTATGTTGACGAGTAGGTATTTAGAGTGCGACATAGGAATAATTAATTATCTATTATATATAATTCTTATGAAGCAAGTTTTTTCGATATGTAAAAATAAATATCATTGAAAAAAATCACTCTATATTTGAATAGTCTCTCTATTTAGATAGATATATAAAACGTTTATTGTTTTGCATCACACACACAACAATATAATACAGTAAATGGATTAAAAGAGACACACAGAAATCAAAATTAAAGATAATAAAATAAAAACAAACAACAATACAATAAATAAATAAAAAAATTTAATAATAGGGGTTAAAGTATGAAATTGCCGATTTGTACTGAAAATC